GATCTTTATCTGAATTTGAGATTCAAAGGTTGATATGTTTGTTTTGTGGAGAGAACTAACTGAAGTTTGTGTTTGTTTTCTACTGTCTGTGTAAAGATCAGATTTTTAGTTCTGTGATTTAAGAATCTTTGGATCTTTATCTGAATTTGAGATTCAAAGGTTGATATGTTTTGTTTTGTGGAGAGAACTAACTGAAGTTTGTGTTTGTTTTCTACTGTCTGTGTAAAGATCAGATTTTTATTTTTGAGAAATGGAGTTCTTGGAAAGACCTGATGCTCAATTGATTATTGGAGTTGCTGTTGCAGCTGTTGCTGTTGGTGCTACAGCTTATTTTTACTTCTCTTCAAAGAAGTCCAAAGGTTTGATTTAATTTATTTTACCCATTTCCAGCATAAGAAAAACTGTTGATTGCACTTATGTATGCTTGTTATTTAGGAGAAACAGGTAGATTGTTTTAAAATTAATGGTAGTGTAGCTAATATTTCATGGAAATGGTTGTGGACTTGGGGTGTGTGTGTGTGGTTGTGTGTCTATGTTGCTTGGACTTTTCAAAATGCCACAGGGTACGTGTTGGATTGTTCAAAAGTAGTGCATTTTTTAAGGATTTGATACCTGTGTGGCCGCATTTTTCGAGAATCTGAGCAATATAGGTGTGTTTAGAAACTATCAGTCATGCATGTTTAGTTTGTAACAAAGCTACAACTCCCATTAAGAAACATGGAATTGGGATACTGGTGTTCATAACTTGATAATTTTTTGTGTATGTATCAGCAATCATCTAGTTTTTCAACTCAGTCTCATTCTTATTCATTTATATAATCAAGTAAAAACGTTCGAACCCTATAGAGCTAGGGGTGCTGTGTGATTTTTTCTTATTTTAAAGATGTCAAGATATGTTCTGATTTAGTTTATTTCCTCAAGTCACTAACAAAACTGTGCCTAGTTCTGTTTTCTATGCCTTTGATCTCGGTTATACTGACTGATTGTATCTTGTTATCTTAACAGTATGTTTAAACCCTGAAGAATTCAGGGCATTTAAGCTTGTGAAGCGCACACAACTTAGCCATAATGTGGCGAAATTCAGATTTGAACTTCCAACGCCCACTTCTGTGTTGGGACTACCCATTGGACAACATATTAGTTGCAGGTTCGGTTGATTAAACTATTCTCACATGCCAGTAGTTTGTTTGTTTTTGCTCTCACCATTTGGATTATTACTTGATGCTCAATCAATCAGGGGCAAAGATAGTCAAGGTGAAGAGGTTGTTAAACCATACACACCAACTACTTTGGACTCGGACATTGGATATTTTGAGTTAGTTATAAAGGTAAAAGTTAGGTAGTGTGGTGATTTTGCTCTTGCCTTTTCCTATCTCATTTTGGTGATTTTGATGGTTTGTATTTTGTGAATGCACAGATGTATCCCCAAGGAAGGATGTCACATCATTTTCGGGAGATGCGTGAGGGTGATTATATGGAAGTGAAGGGACCCAAGGTAGATTTTTTGTTGCTTGTGAGATAATTCTGCAGTGAATACTTATTGGTCATCTAGTCTCTTTTTTGCCTTTCAGAAGGGTATTGTTGTTTCTTTACCTTTTTTTTTTTGGTTTCTTTACTTTGTTTCCCTTCTTCAACAATTCCAAGTTTGTTAAATCATTGAATTAATATCCGGTGACTTAGAAAGTGAACAGAAGATTAACTACTGAGAAAAATGTAGGAATCTTGTGACTTGTGGTGCATCCAAGAAATATTCTTATGCTGTTCTGCATATGGCTTGACCATATTTCTTTTCAGATTTCACCTTTCTATGTATTATGTTTTTCTTCTTCCATATCTAAGATTAAAAAAGATAAAAAATTTAAGATTTAGGTGCAGGAGAAATCTTACATTGCTTAATGGATTCTTGATCTTCCATTAAAAAGCTTTATCTGTTGAGGACTCACACATCGATGTCCTTTCATAAATAGGGCCGCTTTAAGTACCAGCCCGGACAAGTTAGAGCATTTGGAATGCTTGCAGGAGGCTCTGGCATTACCCCAATGTTCCAGGTCTGTTTTCTTCCTACTTTACTTAAACAACTTGTCTTTCCTTTTCTTTTCTTTTTTTGTGAAAATGGTTGTTCTGGAACGAAATATTTCAGAGTTTGATGTTGGTATACTTCTTTTTGTTTCTATCCAGGTTGCTAGAGCTATTCTTGAAAATCCTAATGACGCGACGAAGGTGCACCTGATATATGCTAATGTTACTTCTGAAGATATTCTTTTGAAGGTACATATTCATCTCTTTTTTGTCATTCAATTAGTTCATACCTTACACTCGAATGTTTGAACAAATTTTATGCATGCACTTCTGCTCTCCTGTCACAGAATCGTAGTTGCTGCAGTTGAACTGTATTGAGTAGTAGGTTTATTGTTTATCTCATTTTTATTTTTTTGCCTGGAAGTTCCTTAGTTCTTATTCAATTCAGGTGTGGTGCTTCATTTGTAAAATGTGTGCTTAGTTGAGTCCTCTGCTGATCTATGCTTTAGAGATATGAGAGAATTGTGTGATTTTTATTTTTGAACTTGAGTGGCAACTGTTTTGTGTTAAGTTGCTCAGTCATAAAACGCTTTCAGAGCATTTTTTTATGTCGGAAACATGAAACCAAAATACAATGATTTGCACTGAAGAATTAAAGCATTTGAGCGTTTTTTTTTTTCAAAATAATTTCCTAGAATAAAGACGAACAGCTTCCCTAAAGCATCCAAACTGCCTATCTACCGACTTTTGTTGTATTAGTAAAATTTACTGTATGCTACTTCCCGGGTTTCCCCCTTCAGATCAACTTCATCCTTTACTAATAAAAGTTATTTTAAGAAACACACTCCCACAAATATGGCTCATGTCTAAGTAATCTGTAGTTATGTCAGAGAACTTTTTACTGTTTAGAAGTGTTGGACTCTTTCACGTTGTCATAGTCTAATTTTTATTACTTTCTCACTTCTCCCAATTCATTATTGACCGTCGCCTGCATGTTGAATCTTCTATGGGATCCTTTTCTAAATGCAATATTCGCTTTTCTAATTATGTCGGTGAATGTTCTATTTTTAGGAATTATAGGGTTTCAGGTAGTAGACCTGTTTGTTTTTTCTAAATAGTGAAGCATATTATCCAAATGATTTTATATTTGCAGAGTCTATCTTTGCCAAACAATAAAATAACTTTCCTAACCTGTATGATAGTTGGCCTTTTAGCAGTTTGGGGAGGACATAGTTGAACATTATTTATACTGAAGTTGATACCTCCTTGAAGTGTTGATAATTGTGCCAATCAATATTTGTTTCTGGGGGAGGGTGGAGGTGACTTTCATGGCCGTTTTGCTAATATCAAGTGTAGTATTTGTTTCTGTGGAAAGACATATCAGCTTGAGCGTATTGAATGTCCGCACCTGAATTTGTATTTATTGGTCTGCAGGAAGAGTTGGAGGGTCTTACTGCTAACTATCCTGATCGTTTCAAAGTTTATTACGTCTTGAATCAGGTCAGTTCTATAACTTCCTTTCTCGTTTGGAATATGATCTATTGACCTTTTTCTCCTTCTATGTATAATTATTTTGATTTTGTTTAATTCAGTTCTGTATATTATTCAATATTCTTTTCTCTGACGTGTCGTGTATTGATAGCTAACTCAATACTGTAGTTTGTAGTAATATTTCAAAATGTCCAAAACTGTCAAATGATTTTCGTTTCATCTCATTACTGATTTATGTAAATTATAATGAAAAATTGATTTAAGTTGACTGGTTCGGAAACTGGCACATAAATTCTCGACCTTTGGAGGCACGGAACTCCTTTTTTGTGGCTCATGGGAGAAGTGTAACATGTTAAACTTGTTGTGTCCAATTGGTTCTCCACAACATTTTTGAATGCTGAATAAGCATACATCATGATCCAAACAAGATGGGGTTCAATGTCGATATGGCACTATGTCGACCACCCTCCCTTCCAAAAATATCAAAAAGAGAAAAGTCTAGTTTATAGTGAAGTGATTTCTTTTTTCTTTATCATCTTTCCAAGTTGCTCCTCACTACCGTACATTTCTCTTGCAAGTAGACGTGCTTTTACATCTTACGCATTGAGTCAAATGATTAAATAGCTCTCTTAATATGTGTAGCCTCCGGAAGAATGGAGTGGTGGTGTGGGATTTGTCTCCAAGGAAATGATCCAGACTCATTGCCCTGCCCCAGCAGATGACATTAAGGTAATACATTGCATCTTTGAAGTTGCTAACAGCTATCGATTCCAATGTCACGAGTTTGTAGTAAGAGCATAGGTAGATTATCTTAGAAGTTCATGGAATATCAAGGAAAAGCAAAGTTCGACTGATTTCATGTTAAACGTGCAGATACTGAGGTGTGGTCCACCACCGATGAACAAGGCAATGGCTGCTCATCTTGAAGCCCTTGGATATTCACCAGAGATGCAATTCCAATTTTAACTTCTTTTTCTGTTTTCATTTTTATCTCCGCATTAAAATTAGCCTCGATTACAAGGGGTTGCGTTTTATAGTCTGGGAAAAGACATTTTCCATTTTTCAGTGAAGAGATTCAAAATCATGCTTTCAAGTTTGAATAACATCTCATCCTTGAGTAGAAATGTCCTCTATGCTATTCTGGTCTTGGTTCAAAGTGCACTAACATCAAAGTAACAGTTGAGTTGATTGCAGTGTTGTTTTTCTCAAGTTGTTTTGTGCAAGATTGGAAACAAATCTCTCTACCTTTGGAAGGTAGGGGTAAGGTCTGTGTACACTCGACCCTACTTGTGGGATTACTATGTTGTTGTTTGGTGTAGAGAGAGGTGGAAGTGTAATTTGTAGTTTCAAAGAGCGTCAGCTCGAGTGAAGATATTTTGAGTTTGTTTGAATGTGAAAAAGTTACAGTGTATCTGTTATCTTCTACCAACATAAATAATCGCGTCAAACCAAAACTTGGACAGAGAATCCTCCAAGCAATATTTCTTTTGGTGTTTGCTTTTGCTAGGATTTGAACCTTGAAAATCATTGATTGTTAGGTCATATTTTTAAATGTTGGTTAGAATATGAATCCTAATTTTGGTATAAAATATACCACAAATACTCACAAGGAAGTTGGGAGGGCCATTGAATCCTAATAACTTTTGAAAACAATCTTTCTATTTCTTTACGAATGGATGCACATAAAGTAAGGTTAGAGTTAAAATCATACTCTCTCGTAGGGGTATGATAAATCAAATTGAAAATGTGATATTGATTTATCGTTTATTAATGTTTTGATAGGGTTATACGACAAATAATTTGAGACGAAAAGACCAAATTAAGTCATTTGGAAAAAAAAAGCCTAAGGTACCAAGTTTTTGAGATCCATATTTTGAGATCTGTTTATGAACCTTACATTAACTATAACATTAATAACCGTTTAAATTACTAATTAAATTAACTCTTAACCACTAATTAACGTGAGCTTGGATTAAAAAAATACCTAAACCACATAGTACAAATTTACATTGCATGTCTGACTGTCTGTTGAACTTATGTTGAAAATTTAAAACTATAATATAAAAAAATTGTCAGCAAAAAAGACTGATGAGCCCGCTTCTTCAGAGATTCCACATTCACCTATTTCTACGCTGTTTTGAGAATTTTTTTTTACACCAAAAGACAAGAAATTGGAACGGTTCACAGAAAATTGACCCTTTTTTGTATTTGGTGTAACTGCTCTGTCCTCCACCTGTTTGTCTTTTTGTTTCCATTTCTTCAACCCTTTTTCCTCTCTTGTTGTATGAACATTTTTCTCTTTTTCTTCATATTGTAGTCAAATTCACGTTGGTTCTGATCTGGGTTTTCAGTTTCTTGATCTGGGGTTGTGGTTTCTTGAGTTATTTCAGCTCCATTGACAAGTTTTCTTGCTTGTATAGAAAAAAAATCCATTCTTGATTTGGTTTTTCCTTGTTTTTACCAATCTTGTTTGGTTTTGAGAAAAGGGGGTGTCTTGGATTTAGATATTGGTTTGACAAAAGGGGTGTTTGTTTGTTTGTTTCAAGTTTGTCTTGGATTTGTTTATTAGCCATAGTGTGATAAATGCTGAGGGGAAGGATAAAGATATGATTTTTATGGTGTGAGCTAATGTAGGAGTTTGGTTTTGAGTTTTGTTTAGAATGAATGATTAGATGGTTTTTTGTTATTATCATGTCATTTGTTTAAAGGTCTAATTTTTGCATTGTTTTGTCCACCATTTTGAGTATTGGAGCAACAATGGTAGCTTATAGGATGTGTTAGCTGTTGTTACTTTGTTGATATAGAGAATTGCAATGGCTGAGAGGAATGTACATTTGATGGGATTTTTTGGTCGAAAATCCTTGTTTAGTATGTTTTCAATTACTTCAATCTTGTTCATGTTATCTTTGTTATTTGTGATGCGTTCAACTGGACATCGTCACTTTTTTTACCTCAATGTGTTACCTAAGTCCAAGGTTCTTGCTTTGTCTGAAGAAGGTTATTCACAATCTAGTAGTCAAAGTAATTATGAGGTCTCGAATTCAAATCGAGCGGTGTCTAACAAAGGAACATTGGAAAAGTATAATGTGTTAAAGTGTAATCCTAGTAAACAAGTCCTTAAAGTTTTCATGTATGACTTGCCCCCGCAATTTCATTTTGAATTGTTGGGATGGAAGGCTGAGGGAAAGAGTGTCTGGCCAGATATTAGGAAACTGGTTCCTACTTATCCAGGCGGATTAAACGTGCAGCATAGTATAGAGTATTGGTTGACATTGGATCTTTTGTTGTCTGAATTTGATGACAATTTGAATAGTCGAAGTGCTAGTGCAATAAGAGTGCATAATTCAAGTGAAGCTGATGTGATATTTGTTCCTTTCTTTTCATCGGTTTGCTATAATCGGTTTTCAAAGGTTAAGCAAAAGAAGAAAACAAGTCCAAACACCTTGCTGCAGAAAAAATTGGTTGCCTTTTTGACAACACAAGAGGAATGGAAAAGATCAGGGGGGAAAGACCATATAATTCTTGCACACCATCCAAATAGCCTTTTGGATGCAAGAATGAAGTTGTGGCCTGCAATGTTCATACTTTCAGACTTCGGAAGGTATCCTCCCACAGTAGCTAACGTCGAAAAAGATGTGATTGCACCTTACAAACATGTTATCAGGAACTATGAGAATGACACTTCTGATTTTGATAGTCGACCAACATTGCTCTACTTCCAGGGAGCTATTTACAGAAAAGATGTAAGTCATTTCTGTTCATGTAGTCTTCCGTTAACTATATCTCTCCGATTTAAGTGGACTAAGAAATAAAATTACTTGTAGATGTTTTTCTGAATTTCAGATTATGTGTTTGTGTTAGTGCACAGTATCATATGCTTGTTAATAGAAACTATAGGAAACTGTTGACTCTCAAGTAATTTCATCTGTGATATGTTGTGTATGTATTATTTTGAGGGGG